GGTGGCATCGCTCGAGGTTGGAAGTGGAAAGCACCAGACAAACGCAAATCATTTCACCAGATTTATTTCTGTTTTGCACTTTAAATGATTCATTCACATGCATTTCTCAGCCCAACGCTGCCCCAGCTCTCCCCAGTTTAGCAGAGCCTGCAGGAACATCAGCCTGGCCTTGTGCAGGCAGCCCTGGAGAGCAGGGATAAAGGAGGATTGCCAGCAGCGTGTGGAGGAAGGGGCAGAGAAAACCACCTCAAAGCATCTTCAGCTGGTCTCTGCTTCAAGGTCGAATCGCAGATGGCATCAATGTGAAATTGTCTTTGTTAGGCTGGGGAGAAAAAAAAAAAAAATCTTAAAAAAAAAAAAGTCTCTAATCTGAATCCATCCTCAGCGCAATTAGATACAACCTTTAATCTGCCAATGTTGTGAGATCATACAGGTGGCATGAATACTAATAAGGACTGATATTTGTACAAGCTTTCTTAGGTTGAATAATTAAATTGACTTTATCCATTAAACATTCCCAATTAAGCATTGAATACATGGCTGTTTTAATGTCTGGGGCCATCGCCTCTTCCTTACGGGGCCTTAATTAGAAATTTTACTGCCTCCCACCAGCACCTCAGCCATCAGCAGTGGGGGCCGAGGGGCTGAAATCTCCAAACGTTCTTTTTTTTCCAAGCAGCTCAGCGTGGCTATCTGCTGCAATCCCACTCAGGCCCTGTGATAACTCAAGCTTGCACCGGGTGGGTGCTCAGTCCTCTTACAAAATGGTGTTAACAGAAGCAGCCCCGCTTCCCGTGATGATTTTTTTTTCCAACCTTTTTTTTTGTGTGTGCAGCCCCAGTGTGGGCTCCCTGCGGTGGCTGCAGGACATGCGGTGGCATAACCACTCCCCTGGTTGATATCTCAGCTCACAGAGATGTCAGCAGGGGGATTTCAGCCCTGGTTTGGGTCCGTGGCCCCGCTGGGCTGAGCCGGGGCTGTGCCTTGTGCCAGGACCCCTCGACTTGCCCTCATGCACTTGCCAGCCAGGGGTTGGGTTTTCCAGCTGTGGCCATTGGATTAGTCAGGGAAAACATCTGTTTGCAGGGAAAAGCGCCAGCAACCCTCATTATCTAACACCGCAGGAAAGAAACCAGATTAATTATTAAACTATTTGATTAAAAAAGAAAAAATAAAAAAAGAGCAACTTATGTTTCTTGCTTCAGCTTTGCCCGCTCAGAGGCACAAGCTGCCAAAGGTCTGGAGTGATTTTGCCCATGTTTGCTGCAGATGCCCTAGCAGAGGCTCTCCCACTTGAGCCTGTCTTCCCCCAAAATACAGCCATGGTGGCTGACAAGCAGGAGGACTTCGTGTCTGGCAAAGGCAGGAGCTCGCCTTCCCTCCCCTTCTACCCACAGAGCCTCCAGTTCCTCGTGCCCTTCCCAAACCTGATGGCCCTGCTGTGACGCAGCTCCTCCAGCCCTCCTCGCCCTCTCCCCCTTCCTGCCTGCATGTTAATTTATTCCGACTGGCTCAGATCAAGGCACTAATTAATTTTCCTCATTAACCAAAAAAAAAAATAAAAAATCTAACAAATGGTAACAAGTTCTAAAACAAATTAATTTTTCATAGAAGACCAGACATCTCACAGCCCACTGGCAACAGCACCTTGTGCACGCAGTGATGCTCTGCAACTGGCCTCAGGGCTGGATCCCAACCTGATAAATCACCCAGTGTAAGGGTGGGGGCAGAACACTGGGTACTGACACCTCTGCTTTGTCTTTTTGCTGTGCTCTTTTATTCCAGGGGGATTAGGCCAAATTGTGCTTGGGCTGAGGATGGTGCAAGTCTCCTTGCAGTCACACATGGCCTAGGTTTTCAGAGTGTGTCCCCCCCTGTCCCTGCAAAGCCACTGCTCTGCAGTGCCTGGGATGCTGGGGACCCTCCTGGGGCAACTGCAGCCCCTCGAGCTGGTTTCCTGGCTGGCTCACAGCAAGTCAGCACGTAACAGAACAGTTCACCCCACCAGTCGCCGCCCAATTACTTTCCCACCAAACTAAATCTCTGGGTAAATACATTCAGCAAGAATTACAGCAAGAATATCGCTGTCTGGGCTCAGGCTTTCCCGTGTACTTCCACGTTCTTTGATTTGAACAGCGGGTGGGAAGAGCGCTACGAAGAGAAGAAAAAGGCTGCTAAGACAAAGGGCAGGGAAGCTCTCTGTAGCCTCCTCGCAGAGATAAAATGCAGGCAGGGATGAGTCAGACTGGCAACTTTGTGCAAACACTCTAAAAATAAAGCTGGTTTATTGCAGATTAATGACACCATAAAATGTATTTCACTGGCCATTTAGCAGGTGTTGATCGTAAATATTTGGGATTAAAAATAAACTTTTCTGCCGTGCCACTGTATTGTCGTTCCTCTCTCACCCACCCTCCCTGAGTGCCTTTTGGAAGCGATGAATCAGTCTCGGGGTTGGTTTAATCATACTTGAAAATGTAATGGTGACAAAGAACCTGCTTTCTGGGCACCAGCCTCCAGCACAGATTTTAAAGCACTCTCTCACCTGGGTAGCAGCAAGCAGCAGCACCTGGGCCTGCCGCTCGCACCAAGGGCTCCATCTCACTATTGCAATTATGCAGTTCTGCAAAGGAGCCCTTCTCCTGTTCTTCTCACAAAAAGCAGGCTCCCCCGGGGAGCAACTTTGTGTCTGGCAGAGGCGAAGGACTGCACAGGCTCCTTTTGCCTTAGAAATTCCTTTTTCTCACTGTAATCTCGCCCCGTGCAACCCCATTTTCTCTTAGCCAGCCTCTTTCTTCCGCCGCACTCCCACAAGGATGCTCTTTGCCACAGGTGAGCCCATCCACCTACGCGCACTGAGCGCTGGATCACAAGTGGCAGCAACTCCCAAAGCCCTTTCCTGGAAGCTGGGAGCCTAAAAAAATGTCCTCTACATGAGCCTGGGAGAGTTGGCACAGATTTTTCTAAGCCTTGGCTCTTCCTGGAAGTGAAAAAAATTGCAATTCCCTTAGCTGTTTAATGCCTTGTGCACAGAGGTCAGTGCTTGCTAGAGCAGGAGATGTTCTTTCAGAGATGGGACCTGCCCTGCACACGATGGCAAGCCAGCGAGCAGCAGGCGAGCACCTTCCTTCCTTGGGCACCCCAAATGCCCCGGGGAGGTTCCCAGAAAGTGCCTCACGCAGGGAACACCAAACAACAGGACCGGGACAGGGCTGGAAGAAGAAACTAATATTTTACTTGGCCAAGAGAGATGCCGACATCGTTAAATAACACCCACAGAATAGCCCTGATCTGTGAGTTTTCATTACGCTTGAAAATTGAAATCTCTGATGGACCGTTAATTAAGTTTTCTTTGCTTCGTTGCTTGGGATTTCATTCTAATCATAAAGAGCAAAAATGCAGCTAATTAGAACAAGATTGGCATGTAAGGGGGCGGGGGGGAGAAAGGTCTCCTTACAACTGGAAGGGGACAGAGGCCTTCCACAGGCAGGTACGGATGACTCATTGCTGCAGAATAACCCCGCTGCCTTTTCTCTGTCACGGGGAAAAATCTCTTGGTGCTGGTATTAACTCCTCCAGTATATCACTTGCCAGGCATGAAGAAAAAAACACTTAAATTGGCTCTTAGCTAGGTCTGAGTTAGCTGGTAGCCAAGGAAATGGAAAAAAAAAAAAAAAAAAAAAAAAAAAAAAGTGTTAATTAAATGGCCTTGCTAGCTGCAAAGGGCAGTTGTTTGAGAGCTGCTTTATTTTTCCCTTGGATAATTTTCAGTTGAAATAAGTGATTTGCTCTGAAGCATTTCTGAGGGGCAGGGGAGAAAGGATAAAATATCAGTCGTTCCCTCCCATCCCAGGAGCCTTTCTCCCATTCCCCTGTTGGCCAAGTTTTGTCTGCTGAATGTTTAAAAAAGAAAAAAAGTAAACTCAAAGAAAACTTGACAAATCTAATTGAAATAAAGATTGGCAGAGAATATATCCACAGGAACATTAAAGGCATTTTTCAGGCACAGACAGTAGTGATTTAGTAGTTTATTCTCAGTCCAGCCCAAACACACAGAGCACCCATCACAAGGCAAGAGGCAGTATCTCAGGATGCTCCTTTACCCTCAGGAAAAACACCCGAAACAAAGAGTCCACAGTGTGGCACTGCAGAGAGCCAGAACAGCAACACGAGCCTCCGCAGGGTGGCTGCCAAAAGGGAGGCAAAATGGAGCTGGTGGGGACCGAGGCTGCCTCCGACTCCTTGCAAGGGAAAACCAAACAGTTGGTGGCCAGAGCTTCGTCTGTTCCTCACGTCCTTCCCCAGAGCCCAGTGCTGACTGAATGCCCCAGGACAGCTCGGGCAGGGCAGCAGGGGCTGAGATGGGGAATGACGTTGAGGGGTGAGCGGCTGTGGCGGTGGCAAAGCTTCCCGGCACCATCACCTCATGGCCTCTGCAGGGAGGCAGCACGGCCAGCGTCAGCAGCTTCAGCTCTGAAAAGACACACAGAATTCACTCCCCTTTTAATTAGAGCAGGCTAATCAGACGAGCACAATCCCATTTCCTCGCCTTCCCACGGGACGTGCAGTCACATCCAGGTATCAGCACTTAGCGGGACGCAGCTTGCTCCCGCCAGGCCAGGGGAACAAATACATCGTTACACGACGCTAATTACAAAGCCTTAAAACTCGACGCCTCGTGGCCTGTAACAGGCCTCGTGTAGCCATGGCTGTGACCCCATGGGGACACCAGAGCTGCCGGGTGCCCCCGTCCCTGCCGATCCCAAATGTTCCCCCATGGGCACCCCAGGCCCGGGGCTCCCTGCGGGCGCAGCCATCGCAGCCCGGCCGGCAGCAGCATCTAGTGGCCATTTCCTCGGTGTGTGCTGCTCCCTCCCACGGGCTGGGAATGCCTTATAAAGAGCTCAGCAGGAGTGATTTATGGAAACGTGGTAAAACAAAAATGTATAAAATTCACAACACAACGCGGCTTAAGGATTAAGGGGGAGATGGGCAGCGGAAGGCAGGTTCCTGTAGGACTCAGCCCCAGCCCCTCAGCCCAGTGACCGTGGGGGTGACGAGAACGCGCTGTGCTGAACGAGGGGAGCGGCACTGCCGGCGTTTTGGGGCGATTCCCTTGCTTTTTGGTAACCCTGGGCACCCCCGCGAAGCGCCTCCCGCTGCGGCTTTTTGTCCCCCGCGCCGCTCCGTCCGTCTCCATGGCAACGGCCGGGGCGCGGGGCCTAGCGGCGAGGCGGGCGCCATGACGGCCGGTGGCGGCGCCCCCAGCGTCTTCTTGGTGGCCGTTAACGGCCAGATCGAGAGCGGGGAGGTGAGGGGGGACCCGCGGCGAGGGGCGGCCCGGACCCGGCTTCAACCCCGGCCCGGCCTCGGCTCCAGCCCCGGCAGCGCGGCCTCGCCCCGGCCTTCGGTCCCCGTGGGCCCGTCCCGCTGACGCCGCCCGTCTCCCCGCAGTTCCCCGGGTTTGATGATCTCTACTGCAAGTACTGCTTCGTCTACGGCCAGGACTGGGTTCCCACCGCTGTAAGGGTTCCGTGCCTGCCCCTGAAGCGCTGCCCGGGCAGCCGAGCGTGTGTGGCAGCTGTAGGGCATGGCCCCGCTTATGTGGTTTTCTCCCCCCCCCCCACAGGGCCTGGAGGAGGGCATCTCGCAGATCACCTCCAAGAGCCACGTCTCACCCACCACGCTCGTCTGGAACTTCCCCATCGAAATTACCTTCAAGAGCACCAACCCGTCCGGCTGTGAGTGCCTGGGGAGGGGGGGACGCTCAACACCGAGGTGCCTCCTTCACCCCCGCTTCTTTGGCAGGGCCGCAGATTGTCATGAGTGTCTACGGACCTGATTTTTTTGGAAACGACGTGGTGAGAGGTTACGGAGCTGTTCACGTGCCCTTCACACCTGGAAGGTGAGCAGACAGCCCTGCCATCTTTCAGGGCTAAAAGACAGATTAATTTCCAAGTTGCAATGTTATCGCAGGGACAAAACTGTCCCTATATCTGCTTATCATGACTTGGCCGTTTGGTACAAAGGATGTGGATTTTCTAGCAGCAGTCCCTGGTTGTTATTATTATTGGCAATCCTGTAAGCTACTCCTTAAAGTTAGAACTGGCACAAAGACCACCCAAGTATGAAGTGCAGTATGTTAGCTCTCATCACTCTCTCCCCATCTCTCTCAGCACACGCTAAGCTTTCATTCCTGCCGCTTGAAATTATGCTCTTCCTATGCAAGCAAACACTTTCTTTGTGCAAGGGAAAGTATTGTTTTACTTTGAGGTGTTCAGTGGTCTGACGTGTCTGAAATTCCGCTGCCTGCACAAATATAAGACTTGCCAGCGCTGTTTGCTTCATTTCTGAAGGTCTGTACCTCTCATGTTTGTTTTAGGCATAAGAGAACCGTTGCTATGTTTGTTCCAGAGTCCACATCTAGGCTGCAAAAGTTTACAAGGTAATGATTAAAGGCTTCTTATTTTGAAAGTTCTTGCTCTTACTTGCAAATGTCCATCCAGCTACTCACTGATGCGTATCTGTGTACACTTTCTATCATAACCAGGTGGTTTTGAAGGTAAAGACACATTTTCAGGTGTCTGGGTTTTTTGAAGAGCTTTCTCAGAACGTGTTAACTCTCTGCTTGCCGTAATGCTTTGTCTTTTTGTCATCTTCATGTTTGAAAAAGAACAAATTTTAACGGCAGACCTGAATTCTTGTACTGAGGGGCTGCTGACCTGTGAGCTGATTATCAGGCTGTGGATTGCACATAACAACTAAACCTGGTTTGGGTCAGAGCTGGTGTGGGAATCTGTGCCCCACAGACAGGATTCAGCTGATGTCCATCTCTTCGCTTATGATATCCTTCTCATAGAATCTCCATGCTAGTTTATCTACCTTTGTATTAAGTGCATTTCTGATGTACTTGAAGTATCCAAGCCTCTCTGTTACTTTGGGTAATCAGGCCTTGAATCAGACTGGTCTTGAAACTGCTTTGCTCTAGAGAGAGTTTGTCTAGCTCAGATATAGCTTGGATGTAATATAACGTGTATGAAATTTATTTATTTGTTTTTCTCCCTCAGAGAGAGGAAAACTTATCTTTGATCAAAGGAGAACAGCAATAAAGAAAGTGAATGAGTGTCCAAAACTCTGTGCTGTGAACAAAAGCTGGGAGACTTATTACCCCTCTTTAAAAAAAATCGTATATAATAAATTGTGTCAAATCTAAATGCAACCATGTGTATCCAGTTATTTATTTTCTATTTTCTTTTTCAAGTTGGTTCACAGGGAGACGTCCAGAATTTACTGACCCCAAAGTGGTAGCACAGGGAGAAGGAAGAGAAGGTAAGGCCCCAAAACCTCCCTTGCATGGCAGCAGACCGTGACTTGGCCACCCATTTCTCCTGTTGGCAACAAGGCAGTCCTAACCAGGTATGTGAGGAGTTCAACAGTGACTCAAAATCCTCTCTTAACCAGTGTTATTCCTGTCTTCTTTCTTCTAGTAACGAGGGTGCGATCTCAAGGCTTCGTGACCATTTCCTTCAACGTAGTGACCAAAGATATAAAGAAGCTGGGCTATGATGTGAGCCCAACTGACATGCAGACCCCCTGCGTGCCTATTACAGAGGGGATTCATAAGTATTGAACTCAGAAGTGAGACTTGCAAAGGCTCACATAGAAGTTAAATGTTTTACGGGCTTTTACTGTTTGTTTCTTCAAACGGAGAACGAGCATCTGACTGAACTAAGAAAATTTCATGTGAAACCTTTATTGAAAAAGAAACTCAAGCCCCTGGGGCTTTGGAGTAATTTTCTAGAGTATAATTATTTCAGTAAGTACACAGCTTAAAAATTGTAAATTTATATCATCAGTTCTATTTTGCATTTTTATGTCTAATATTGGACTTCTCAAGAGAAGACCTACAAAAAGTTTTTATAACAGCTTCTTTTTTTATATGTTATATACTTCAACTTATAGTTGTAATAGTTCTCCTTTGTTTAAAACATTAGTAAAAAAAAAAAAAAAGAACTGGATTTGTACTGATGTTTTTGTGATAGAAATGGGAAATTGAAATTATTGCACCTTCCGAAAAGGAGAGATTAGAAACACACACACCCTTCTCTGTGCTACCAGCTTCACTCTGCAAAATCACAGCAGGTATCTGTTACTGTCCCCCATGGTCCTCTAGAGTTTGTGCAACTAAATAAAATAGTTCATGCACTGTAGAAACAAACCCTTCCCCATTTTTAAGTGAAGCAACCGAGGCTTTTGCATTTAAGAACAAGATGGTGACTCTGTGTAGATTTTCTTTCTGCATCCAGCTTGAGGAGAAAGAAAAAGGACAGCAGTTTATTTTACAGGAGTTCAAGAGACCATAGTGTTAGGTATATGCGTGCTGTGTGCTTTTAACTTCTGATAGAACAACTTGACTTTTAAATGCAGCTGTTGACTAAAAAAAAAAAAGCCTTAGAGAAGGAGCTGAAATGAAAGTACACAGAGTCTCGGTAAACCAACTGTGTATACTGTAGTTAGCTTCAAGTCATATTAGTTATCAGAGCTGTACACAAGTCAGGAGCAGCAGTAACGACCTCATCTCTTCCCTTAAGTAGGTCACTCCAGCCCAGCAGAGCCTGATGGTTGATGCTTTGGGTAGCCAAGGTTTTAACCTGCAACAATTTTAGCAGGCTTCTGCCAATATAATCAGATCATGTGTGGTAGTACGGGTTCAAAGAAGAGAGAGTATCGTGCAAGGAAAATGGTTGTTTACGGAGATAATGTACCGTGGCTTTCCTTAGCTGGTTTTCTTATCAGAAGAAAGGCATTAAAAAAGCAACATATTGATGTTCATGTCAGCTATAATTAGGTTTTCCCATTGCATAACCTCAGAGAATGACCGAAACAATGTTGTTTGTTATTAGTGTGACACAAGCTCTGAAGCTAATTTGCTATTCTCAGATGTCTTCAGCATGATGACCCAAAGCTGGCCCCCAGTCTAAACATCTTTTCTGCTGTCTTATCATGGCCTTTCACTAAATACCCCCCTAAGTTAACATTAGTGCTCTTCTTTTAGGATGAATAAACCCAATTGTCTAAATATTTTTGTTTTTGTCTTTCTGCTGCCCAGGGTTTTTATTTGTTTGTGCCAGCATGGTTGTTTCTAAGTCCTGAATCATCCAAGATAGGCTGTTCTTACAGGTACAAAAGAACAAAGCGTACACTACCGTGAAATAACTAGTTGCTTAGTCATTTTCATATTTAAATTTGGGCATGTAATCTCATGTGTTTTGACTGCAAATACCAAGAGAGAACTGTGAGACAGACTTAACATGATACCACCCTGCAAGTAAACTACCAAGACCTTGAAACTATAAAAATAAAGAATAGTGACCACAGTATTGAACTGCAGAGCCTCCAGTACAGATGTAAAGTATCCAGTAGGTACAGTTATTTTGTACTGAGCAGTGTGAGCAAATAAATGTAATTTCTAAAAAGATAACGTGATCACTGTGCATTAACATCTTTTGTAGTATTTATAAATACTTTCCCAAACATGGTTACAGATTTTTTTCATCTCTGCTTTTATCCTGTCATGTTTTTTATTGGTTTTACACTTCCAGTAAGCTGCTCCACCAGTTGTTTTGGCAACTGCTGTAATCTCTCAACTGAGTCATGTTGGAATCCAAATTAATAAGTATTTCCTGTTGGCTCAGAAGAGATGCAAGGAATTTTGTTTCCTTTTTAAAAGTATTTGAGAAGCAGTTAGCTACAGTAGCAGTATAAATATCTGTATTTGAAAAACCTGAAACACCCAGACATTAAACCTGCCATTGGTTAAATATCTTTTTTCCCTTGAGCACATTTACCTGCCCCTATTCTAATTAGAGCAAAACTGCACAACAGAGATTCTAGTCATGAAAAACCTGTTAAACCCAGATAAAGTCCAAACTTCATGCCCAGAGGGATGCAGTGAATTTATTCACGTACAGCTTTACAGTGTGCTACTGCTGCCAATCTGAATTGCTGCCTGTTTGAAATGAGTAGTTGGATGCCTACCACACCGAGCCTGATCAAAACCAACACGTGTGTGTGCACAGCTTTGCTATTCAGAGCCAAGGTGCAAGGACCCTCAGAAAAACTGGTTACAAAAATAAAAAAAGCTAGTGAAAAGCAGTGCTCAAAGAAATCACAAACAATATTACAGTAAAGACCATCTGATTCCAAGCTGACCCCACGCTGCTGCCTGTATTACTGGGGCATTTTGCCTATTGTCTGTTTTTTTCTCGACTCGTAAGCGTTTTGAGCACATTTGTTAAGAATCTCACATACCTTCTTCAAGGCCTTGAAACGTGTTTGGCTTCTGGGTGTTTTGCTGCAGGAGCTTTTCAACCTGACACAATTTGCTCCTCATACAGTGGCAGGTGTGGGGGTGATGTTTTCAATAACTGTTTCCCGAGTTCAATGCCGTTCGTTTGTTCAACAAGGCAACTGTTGATAGAGCTAATAAACATGCTCTTCTTCCAGAGACAGGCTTGCTGCTGCTGCCTTTACGATATTCTGGACAAGTGTCTCAGCTTTAAGACTTGGAACTCGGGCATGGCAGAGGGTTTGCAGCTGTTTCACACTGGACAGAATCTCTGCTCTCATGACAAAGGAATAAAGACAGACACGATGCTGTGCTGTGGTGAGTGACATTAAGAAAGAAAGGATTAACGATCTGTAAGCGCTCACTGCAGTTACTGTTAATATATGAAAGGTTAAAGAGCTCATACTTTAAGAACAGTGAAAACCCAGGGAAAAAAAAGTCTTACGGTAGTGGAATCCCAAAGTAACAGCAGCTGTTACCACCCTACTCATCTACTAGTTCATCATTCTCCTTTTTACTTCACAACTGGACTGAGTTCCCCACCTCTTGTACCACAGATGGTGGCACGAGGCTGTCAGCTGGCACGGCAGCTCCCGTTTGTTACGCTTAAGCCTCTCCCAGACAGTGAAATTGGCCGTGAACCTCCTAACTCCCCAGGAAAAACTCTTCATCTGGAACTCGCACCCTGCTGCTCTGCTGCCATAGGGTATGTCAGGAGACACATCACCACCACCGCAACGGGTGAGACCTGTTAGGGGTAAACGAAGCCTCTGAGATAGTTGAGGACATTGCAGCAGCCTTCCCTCCTCTGCCAGCGTGGTCTCAAGGAGCTTTGGCAGTGCCACCTCGCAGGACACACACAAAGGGGCTGATGCAGCCAGCTGCTGGTGTCAAGACAGACCTTGTGGGAGAGCCTTCCTGCCATGGGGGTGGGAGCCAACCTGGGAAGAAGCAGCAAAGGACGTGATCTGAACAGTGTCCTCTTCCTGTCAGGAAAATTGTTTGGAAACCCTTAGGAACTGGTATTTGCAGCCTTTGCTACCAAAACTGGAAACAGCAGCAACAGCTTCTGCCCTCTCGTGGCAGTTTCCAGCCCTTAGGAGGGTGTTGGTGACTGCTAATAACAATTAGCTAACAGGATTGTGTGAAGGACACCCAAATCCCTCCTGTTCCTCCATGGAGAATTGCTCAGCACAACGGTGCCAGCTGTCCTGCTGCTGCTCCTCACCCCGGGGCAAACACCTGCCAGTGCGAGGAACCACCTGAGCTGCCTTGCAGGGAGCGGGACTGAGCCAGAAATCTGGGCATCTGCGAGCATTCAAGAAGCTGCCTTTGTCCTCAGGCTGCTGAGGTTACTTTGCAACGGGAGTATTGCAGCAGCTAGAAATTATCTCCATCTGAGAATTAGAGTCTTTGCAGACAAATTCAAGCTGACAACTGCTCCCCGGCAGTTAAGGAGCAGGAGTCTCCTGTGAACCGCTCCAAAAAGGGAAGGAAAAAGAATGAAGAAAACCACAGAGGCACAAACCAGCCAGATCTGAAGAAAGTCAGAGCTTCAGCTCCGACTCTACTTGGTCTCATCACCAGCAGCTTCTCTGCCCATCACAAAGGATCCCAGCCCCTGTGGGAGCACGGTGAAGCCCTCCTGAGCACCCCCCAAGTCCAGACCCCACTGCAGCCCCTGCCACAGGCTCCCACCACTGGGCTGAGCGTGTCCTGGGAGCACAAATCCTGTTAGGAAGCATCCTTTGGCCACTGAAACCAGGCCTGAGACCCCAGGATGGGGGCTGTGGTGCAAGGGTACGGTGAGAGCAGGCGGCTTTCCTGGCTGGGTGCAAACAATTCGGTCTCCTGTCCTTCAGCAGGAAGATTAGCAGAAGCATCTAACTGTTGTAGGCTTCTATTTTTATACCTTTATTCAGGCCAAGATATTTAAGTACCCAAACTCACCTCCGAGAATATCACTACGGTTAGTGCCAGGCTTGCTGAACACATTTAAAAAAAAAAAAAAAGGTAAGAAAATCTACCTCCACCACCGCCCAGCACAACACCAACCTGACCAGACCGAGGGCTCCCAGGTCGAACTGCTGTTACACCAACAAGAGCCCCCCTTGGTCTGATTTTCCCAGGTTCCAGGTTCCCATCCCTGCTGTGACCCAAGGAACGTGTTGGATGATTACCTGCGGAGGAAAACACTTCAGGTGGTCAAGGCACAGCACGAGGGAATCCCCAGGTGTCTTGCCTGGTACCATGGCTGGGGAACAATCCTGCACCAAGCCAGCATCCTGCGATCAACCCCCAGCTCCGTGCTGCTCCGGGGCACAAAGCCCTGCCTGATCCAGCCCTGGAGCACGCTGTGGTTTCCAACGGGTCACGAAGCTGCATCAGTGACTGTTAAATGCAACAGCCCAAGGAAACCTCTGCTGGGCTGGATGGAGCTCTGATGGCACCCTGCAGTAGTTCCAGTGCTGCAGCATGCCTGTGTCCTAACAGGGCTCCCCCAGCCACCCGAGCTATTGCTGCGCTCCCAACATTTACAATTTCCTATTTCAGCCCTTGCGAACCCCTCGGTTGTGTTACGCTGGGAGGCTGCCAATCCCCTATCGATCGCCACGCTGCTACCAATTAACCACCCTAATGGGGAATTGGCAGGGATGTTTAAGGCACCGAAGGGAACGGGGAGGGGGCATTTCCAATCATTGAAACCCAAAGTCTTCAACAATTAGAGGGTATAATCGATTGACAGCAAGACACTGAGAGGCAGGATCGCTACCGCACTGTACAACGCTGGCTCTTAGCTATTTATAATCCTGAGCTCCCAAACAAACTGCCGTCTTTACAAAATCAATGTTCATTTTGTGTCCACTTCACAGTACGGAGGGGAGCTGATTACCTGCAAGGCAGATGACAGCTTTAAAAAAGAAAAAAAGAGGAAGTTTTTAGTATGGGGGTCTGTGTAAATCCAACTTGCTTCTCAGGAAAGCGGGCTGCAGGCAGTTGCAGAAATCTTGCCAAAGCCAGAGCACAAACTGGCTCAAAGCATTTCCCCCCAGCTCGATGAAAACGAGCGGAAGACCACAGCTTGCACCGCTCACAACCCAGGACAAACAAGAGGTAGCAGCAATGTTCGTACTCAGCAAAAATACTTGGCAACACTGGATGAGGGCAAGCCTCTAGATAATACTTTATCCAGATAGCTCTCTTCCTCCCCCAAAGCAGGCAAATACCATCTCGCTTCGCAGAAAGGAAGAGGAAACCCGGGGCAGGGAGAAAGGCGCTTGCCCAAGGTCAGAGGAAGGCGCAGGCACAGCAAGAATCTCTCCCAACAGCTTCAGGAGCCCCTCTGGCTTGCAATATTAAGTTCCTTTTTAAGGGTATTATACACTCATCACAAAAATTTCCACTTCAAGCTTTTCCTAAACCTTTCCTGTAACGAGCACCTTTATTCCAAAAAACCATGCAATTTCGAGAGGCCAGAGGAAAACAGAGTACAAGAGCAAAGCAGCACTGACCACGAGAAGAGAGAAGGGCCACAGGAGCAATAAAAACCACACCGGCAGAGAAGAGCCGTCCTGCAGAGGAGCAGAACGTGAGTCACAGAACATCCTTCTGTAAAAAGGAGAGGTACAAAAAACAAAAAGGTGTCAGGGCAGTCATGGGTGGCAACAGAGGTTTTTCTTTTTTCCTTTCATGCCCCGACACAGAAGCAAAATGAATTAAAGACCTGACCGGAGGCAAACTCGCTCCCCAGGGAACCTGGAGCGTTGCTGAAGCGGTGGGTTTGTGGAACGCCCA